TGATTCTGTGATGGAATACAATTTCAAACACAATTTTGATAGCTCACATTTTAATTCACAACCCAACAACTATCTAATAAATTATGTTTAATGTTTAGGCATCTTTAATGATTTTGCGCTGTATCAATTTTTTTATTCAATGTTTTCAATTGTAAGTCTTTCACAGAAACTCTTTCATCATTTGGAGGGACTTAAAAAGGTGACCTTTCCCAGGCTTAACTGGTCTTCTTGTCTGCCTTAACAGAGTTTTAGATTTAATTACTCTAAAAACCATTTTGGAAAATGAGGATTGTTAAAGGGGAAATATGAAAGCCTGAGAGAACTTGTGGAAATTGGTTTTGCTCTTGCTATCATCCAAGTGCAGTATACTTCTATCAGAAAGGGTAGTCATGTCTCTACATCACTCCTGTATTCTGCAGTCATGGCACAGATTACACAACACTGCACTTCGAACAGGGAAACACAATTTCCTTCTTATACCATTTATCTCTTTCATTCTTCAATTGTAATGAAAGTAAGTTCCCAGTTTCAAAGTGTATAATTCACCCTTAATAGATTACATGGGCTGAAATTTGATACGCAACATGCTGCCCAGGGAAGAGACATGCTTTGCTTTGTATGAGATGTAGGTCTGTGCAAAAGCAAATCAGGTACTTTTGTTTTCATACTTTCTGTTTCTCTCTACCAAAAAAAAAAAAAAAAAAGGCAAAACAAAACAATTCACATCTTTTTTCAGCATCAGAGTGCATGAACATAGGGAAAATCCTTGTGGAAATGCTGAGAGGTTTATGCTAGGGACAGTAGTTTAAAAAAAAAATCAGTAAGTTACATGCAAATTTGTTCCCATTAGAACTGACATAAACCCCAGAATTTTAGTGTATATATGGTTTTAATTATGATCCTTTAGCACCTGACCAACGTAGTGACTGTATGATAACTATTTTACTGCTTATGGAGATTTGAAATGCACGCAACACGGGTTTATGCACTGTTGGATCTTTTCCCTCTTACACTTTAAAGACTGGTTCAATATTTAATTGAGAAAATACTGTTATTTTAAAGGCTGTTGCATGATAAAGAAAAATTTAACAAGGAGCCAGTCAAATTAGATGCTCAGATATCAGCTCCTCCTGCCTTCAGAGATGGTTCATCATGTTCACCCCTTCCCAGGACAGGGCTCCTCTTGCATGTCTCTAGTTACTTCTCTACAAAGCTCTCAAGCATTTGCTTATTCCTTTGCTGAATCTGGGTCCTAGTCTGTCCTAATCCCACCATATTCCCAGGGTTGGGAGCATTTAATTAGTACATTGAATTTATTATTTTTGCATGCAAAACCAGATCTTTGCAGCTACTTTTGTACCTCTGCAAATTCACTTTGGAACAGGAAAATTATTTCCAGGAGATTTTTTCCTTGAAATCATTCTTTCTAATAGCTAGTGGCCTGAAGAATATGTAAATCAACAACATCATCCACCCTGCTCTCTGACAATTCTTTCTGTTACTCGATACCTCTAGCTCTTGCTGAAGGAATCTTTCCTCTGAGTTCTTCTCTCACTGATTCTTCTCCTCTTTGTCTGTCATTCTCTGCTCTGTAACTCCTTCTTTCTTGGGTCTTGGCCAGCTTGCTCCCCTATTATATTCTACTTTCTCTTTCATCCTCATCCCAGATTGAATCTGACTCTGTGGCTGCAAATCCACCGACAGCTATTAAATATACAGCAATGCAAATCAAATCCCATGAGGAAAGCCCAGCTAATTATGTGCCGACTCCCTTGCTGGTACCAAGACTCAGTTTCTCTCATCAATCATCCCCAGGACTCTACTGACTATCAGAGCCTGTTTTGTGTAGTGACTCTCTTCCGTGCCCTCTTTGCACACTCTTCCTTTAACCTCTTAGTAATTTGCTGAAATCTTCCTTTTGAACATTGGAAGATTCATGGATCCACTATTATCTTGAGCCAGGATGCAGAAGTTCAGCTTGATTTACCTTCAACCTTCCCTGGCCTGTTTTAAATCTACTGATGCATTCTGCATTCTCTGTAGTTTCTCACTTCTCTATTAAATCTTCCAGCGGTTTGGAGACTCTCCTTTGTATTCAAATGCTGTGAGCTTTCTTCTACATTTCAGGGCATTTGGTAAGCTTGTTGTTTTTCCTCATTTCTTCTGGTTTCGGCTAAAATGTTGTTTCATTCTGTTTCTTTTTCTCTTTCTTGCCATCAGTCCAGGCTCCAAAGGACAGAAGATTGTTTCTCTGGCATAACAAGTGGTCAGACCCACCTAGAGCCACAGATGTGAACCGGAAGGGTTCAGTTTGTATTAAGCCAAGTCAAAGGGAGCTCTTGGCAAATTTCCCCAAAGACAGCAGTATTCTAAAGCAAGGATCTGCAGCTCTGGGTCTGGCTGTTAGGAGCCTGTCAGTTCTCACCCAGGCAGATGTGCAGCCCTGGGTGATCCAAGAAGGCTGTTGCAGGACTAGTGATAGGGCGATTTCAGTTCCTGCAGATCCAGGTTGGGCACACATTACCATGCTGTTATAACCCAATTTAGAAGCTCTACGCTTTACCGGTGTTACACTTTTATTTCTGGTTTCAAGAGATGTTGCCTATGCAAACTCTTTCAAAGCCTTTTGATTCTTTGGTATCTTGAGTTCACGTCTGGAGAAAAACTACACATTTTTCTCTGAGAGGTTTCTTTAAATTTGGTGAGAAAATAGATTTTTTGGCAAAAAGGTTTTAACAGAAATAGCACACAACTTCAGAAAAAACATTACAATAGGTTACTGAAACAATAAAGCATTGCTATAGTAAGGGAACCTTTGTTACACCCAGCAAACACAAACTTAAGTGAAATACCCGTAACCTAAGTGAAATACAGACAAGTTGCCCACAGGAGTAAAGGAAGAGAGATTAAGAGAAGAAAGAATAAAGAGAGGAACATAGTCACCACTATGAAGGTCACATCTTGACAGGTCAGGAGGGCAGAGGCCAAAGGGGATGGAGACCTCATGAGTGTCTATTCATAGACTCTGGCTATTGTAAGCCACTCCCTCTAGGAGGGACCCTTGGCTCACTGCCACTCACTGTCCCCCCAGCCAAAGTGAGGGGTGCCACAGCCAATTAGAGGCTCCAGGGGGTGCAGTGTGGGCAGGCCACCAGGTGGACCTTGTTGACAGCTTAGTTGCATGGCTTTCCCTGCCATGTGCCCTGTGTGGTTGCACCATGTTTGCTCCACGCCTAAGTCTAGTCCTTCCACCCCCCACCCCCACACACACAGACAATGTGGTTTATTCGACCCATCAGTCAAATAATTTGGTGGGATATGAATCCAGTCTCTGACACATGTGCAAGTGCTCTGCTCCAGACCTGCTGCAGGAGCACTGGTGATCTCTGCAGCTTCATGGAGGTTTTCTGAGCTACTCACCAAAGTGTAACAGATAGGGTCCTGCATCCGGTTTTCCTCAGCCCCAGGTTTTGCCTGTTCCCCTGGCAGCAGTAGAAATAAAATGGACAGTTTCAACAATGGCATGGTGTGGAAAGAACTACCAGGGACTGAAATACCATTTCACTGATTTAAGAACAGCTTAGTCCAAGAAGTTTTAATTCCCTGGGAAGCTGGAAAGTTGTTTTTTTTGTTTCCATCGTAAGCAAAATACTATTATACAAAACTTGTACACAACATATGACTCACTTTTTGAGTGACTTTTAATTGTCACTTCAGGTGTCAGTTGATGCATTTCTACTGTGCCTATTAGTGTAGAGTTATTACATTTCAATTCCAACAGTTCACGAAGAACATTTTCTGTTATCTTTTCTACAATTTTTTTTTACCTTCTTACAATGCAACAGGCAGATATTGTGGTATTGATGGAGCACTTATAGATGGCTGATGAATTCTGCCTCATATTATTATACAGTTCCTAATATACAAATTGTGTTAATGATGATACAAGTGTACAGCTTTCAGCAAATTCTTTGTCACACAAAGGGATGACAATTAGGTCGTTAAATCTTGAAAGATGACAATAAAAGCAAACAAAAATATGGAAGAAAATACGCCTCCAGCTGAATTTTCTCTCATTAATCATTAGAGATGACAGGAGTTTGTATAAATTCGGTTGCTACCTTTAAGCTCCTATCAACCTCAAAGAAGATCAGGTCTGGGCAGGGAAGATTTTGAGCATAATCCACACAGAAACGGGTGAGCACTTCTGTGGCAGACATTTGAGTTTAGTTGTGCTGAAATTTAGCAGATCAACAAGAAAACAAACTATAAGCAGTAATATTTATCCCTGTGTGCGCTGATCCTGGACAATCCTAGAAGACTTCCCCTTCATCTATTTAATGGTATGCAAAAATGAGGGATTTGAGACATAAAAATTAGGTTCAGAATCTATTATTTTTGCTTAAATCTATATAAATTGAATGTGTCTGCAGCTGCCAAGGTTGCGTTGCAGAGTATTAGCAAGACATACTCAAACAGTAGAATGAGTATATAAAAATCCAGAACAGGATACAAGAAACACTGAAACTGTATTTGGTAAAAAGACTTGCCTTTCTTTTAACATCACTTCTTCTTTTCTGCTTTAGGATGGAAATAAGAACCATTTATTGCTGAAAAAAATCTTGAATGTTTATTTTAATACACTGTAATAAATGTATATTTTCTTAATGCATAAGTGCATTTTTTGGGATTAAAAGCTCTTATTTCCCAGTCACTACATTCTACCTCTGTATCATATGGGGCCAAATTACACAATGAGCTGAGTTACACTAATCTTAATCAGTAAAGCACAAATAAAACTAATGTTAAGGTTTGATGCCTGCACCACTAAAGTAAACAAAAAGCACAGAGCAAAAGACAATCATGCAATAAGGCAAAGGAAAAAGAAGACAAGAATGCAACACACAAGGATTATTCAAAAGCAAAACTAAGAGAAACATTAAATAACCTGTGATTTCTTACTATCTCTCCCCATCCCTTCATCTTCTTATAAAAACTAGGAATACAATAGGATGCGTCTTTCCTCACACCTGGTAGAAGCTCAGTTCTTTCTTCTTTATTCTTCTGAAAATACTGAAGAACGAAGGAGAGACATAAAGGAAAACAACAGTACTCCAAGCATTTACAACTTTTGTCATAAGAAGAGAAGAAAGCAACAGCGAAACAGTGTGTATCTAAAATAGACATTAAACTTTCTTCCTTTACTACACTTCTGGTGGTCTGAAGAAAGTTCTTGGGTCCCAGTGCTGAGGTTCTTGGAGAACCCAGTGCTGAGGTTCTCGGAGAACCCAGTGCTGAGGTTCTCGGAGAACTGAAAACCCAGAGCCATTTCATTTGATAAAAGCCTGAAAACTCCAGCCTTATACGGCTTTGCGTGCTGTTTGAACATTCACTGCTGAGATTTCTTCTTCGTTCTCATTTCAGATGTATACGTCACAAAAAAATAGAAAAATAGGATATCGTTAGTTTTGGCATCACTGGAAGAGAGTTTTATTAGGGCTGCATTGCTTGCAAAATCCTGCCAAAATCCACAGGGAAGCTTACTAAAGAAAATAACTCCTTTTAGATAATTAGCAGGGATCCATGGAAGCCAACAGAGAGACTGATACTGACTGCAGCTACAAAAAAACTTTGGACAATTGTGGAAATTAATTAATCTCTGTCTAGCCTTGCCCATTTCTCATGCCCAGGTGTAACTTCCCTTTGGTTTACAAGTCAGCCCTGGAAAGTTCATGTCTCATCATTGTTTTGGAAAGTTTTTGATTTGCTGTGGAGTATTTAAGAATTTTGTGTCCTTAGCAAAGTCCTTTACAACTGACAGAGTCACAGAGTTGTGCTTCTTAAAAAGTCCCTTGTACACAAAGTGAATCAGGATCATACATATAATCACACATCTAATCTGCATGAGCTTTTCTCATAGCAATGTTCTAAATGACTGCTATGAACATGGCCTAGGCTTTTTTTAAATAAAGCTTAAAAATCTGAGACCAAAATATCTACCAAACAGTTTCTACTATTCCTATATTTATCAGCTTTGAACACAGCTGATAAAGGTGGTTCTTGAAATAGAAGAGGAAAAAAAAGAAAGCCCTACGTCAAGGTTATCAAAATGGTACTTTTCAGGTTGTTTACACATTTTCACCTAGGAAGTCAGTGGCCTGACTTCCTAATCTTCCATGATCTTCCTAATATCTTACAAACAGTCAACCTAGGAGGAAAAATCTATCTAAGAAAATTCTTGTGGAATTTAGATAAATATTAAAAAAATAGCAAATGAAAGCATTAAGCTTATATGTCATAGTAAAGACAAACTGGGAATATAGATTTCTGTCAGCAATTATTGAAGTATTCAGTATTCCTCCAAAGAAATCCACTACACTCTTAGAGAGACTAAATAACATTTCAAAGTCGTTTTAATTAGATTTTGTACTTAACCTCTTCTGTGACCAGTTCTTTGTAAATCCCCTTTATTTCCTGCTACCATGCTGTGATACTGCTTTCGTATGAATGAGAGACTAAGTAAAACAACTGTGCTGAATATGTGAGTAATTAGGGAATAGTTTACTATAAATTATGGATTTGTTAGAGGAAAGCAGTCTATACCTGTTCCAGTGTTTGAGTCAAGTATTTAAAACCTCCCGTTTTACCAGGTTCTCCAACTTCACTGACTTTCAGCCTGTAGAAAACACATGGCTGATACAAGGGTGGGGTATTTTCAAAAACATTCGCTTACACAATCTTTGTTCCTGGATTAATGCTGTTTTTAAGAAGGCTTGTTTAAGAAGTTTTTGTGCTTATATCTGAATTTTGTTCTGTATCTATTTCATCAAGAAATTGCTGAATAACTCTCCACTAGTACAGAAACAGAGCACTGTATTAGAGTTCTGCTTAGCTTCTTGCCCTGGTGCTGTTTTCATGTGAAACCCAGATGCACAAAATTTCCTATTTTCTTCACTATTCTCATTTCCATTCAAAGCAAGCCCAGCATTCATCTCCACAACACACAGCTTTCCCTGTGCTCTGCCAGTCTGGACAATCAGGAAAGCATAATCACGGATACACTGAGGTACAATACAGTTGGTAAAATATGTATGTACTATCTACTGTAAAATTTTCAGCTATTATATTACTCTTGAACTCCCCTAATTTTTGCTTCTTCTAGACAAACCTATTGATTCCTACAAGTATGAGGGCTTTCATTTCTCATTTAGTTATTTATTAGAGGAACCTCTTGAATTTAATCATTCCAATTGGATGACAGCTAAAAACTCTAATTTTGAAATTTGATAGTAGCTCAGCATGAAGTTTTTCTAAAAAATTGCCTTAGTCCATGCTCACCTCATCAGCTTTCATCAGTGATGGGAACAATAGGATTCACAATGCACCCAAAGGCTCGAAGACAAGAATTACCAAAATGAACGATGCCTCACAACAAACACTCCATGAGCAGCTCCCTCTTAAAGACCTTCAGCTTCATGAGCCTGCATCATCAGGAGTGAGCTACTTCACTTTCAAGTGAAGTGATTTTTTGGATTCTTAAAATCCAATGTCCACCTTTGTCTTGGGAGAAGCCAAAGCTATCAATAGCAGGCAGAGACTAACAGAGTCACAACACCTCAATTTACCAAACAGGCTACAATATTCCAAATTATTGTGCATATAATGCTGAATGTAGAGTGCCTACAACCAAAACCTACAATGAAAACTCTGTGGAGAATTGTATGGGGGAGAACAGCAGTCGCTCTGGAGCAGAAGCTTGCCAACACTGGCCATACAAAAAAAAAATAGAAAAATAAAGAGCCATGGATATACTTGGTTGAAATATCTGAAAATTTTTTTTTTATTTAGTTCAACATATCAAAACAAACTCACAACATTTCCTTCTGTCATTACTGACACTGGAAAAGAAGAAACTACATACTTTTGAAAATATGCTCACAGATACAGATCTGTTATGACTGAAATAGGTGTAAAGTCACAGTTATTGAACAAGTATCCTCAATCAAGCCAAAGCTATATCTTAGGACACAATGTGGTCGAACCATTCAGTTTTGTTTGGTTTGGTTGGAAAGAGCCTCTAGGCTATGTCTGTTTTAGTAAATTAAACATTCTAGTGAATTAATAGCTTTAGAAGATCTTCTCAAGAACTCAAACACAACAGGAGATGCGAACAAAAAGGATTACAGGAGCGATTCTGGTCTGGACCAAAGACCATTTCCTCAGACAACTCCCTGGCGTCACTTGGAGAAATTTGTAGGTCACAGGCACTTTGTGGTAGGTAGATGCATAAGACTGGCCTATTTTGGATGATGAGAGAGTTTAATAGCATGGACACAGGCTACTCTGTGTTAGTTGGCTTCATGGGCAGACCATTGTGGGCAAGTTTCATTCCCTAAGTCTTAGAATTTGTTGGTCTTGCAAACATCTGAGTTATTCACATGGTGAAGATCTGACAGGTGTCTGCTGTCTCCAAAAGGTCCATGCCAAGTGACAGGTCAGATCTCTCCTCTTATGCTCTCTCCACCTGTGACAGCGAGAGTGCCAAGAACAGACCACATTTCTCCACAAAAAATCGAAGCTGTTCCTGGCCTCCTCGTTTTATACCCAGGAGCAGATTCCAACTTCTGACAGTTCAGGAGCCCATTTTCACCTTCACAAGCCCATAAGTGAAAAACCTGATATGTTTTTTTCTATGTCTTGTTTACTCAAAAGGTGTTTTCTGCTACCGCTTAGTGAATTTTTCAATGTGTCTGGGTGTTTGAGCTGCCCTCTACCTGCAGCAGAAAGATCCCCAGAAGTTCTTCCTTCCCACAGTTGCTCAGCTGTTCCTGGCTTAGCTCCTGTAGGTCCCGTTTCAAGTCAGTTCTTTCCCAGCTACTGTTTCCTGGGCTCCCTGTGGCTGCAGCAGCTGTTCACTTCTCTTGGTCTCCCTTTCCTGGGAGAGGTTTGTCCTTCTCACCAGCTGCCCTCTCCCGCCCCCTGAGCCACTCAAGTCCCAGCCCCGCTCCCTTATCTCTTCCTGATTCCTTCTGCAATCACTTTTCAAGCCCTGCTGCCTTTCCTCCACAGCCAACCAGGAGAGTGCTGGCTCTGCCTTTGCAGCTCACTCACCACCCTTGGAACACCACCATCTCCCTTCCTGTGCAGAGAAGGATCCCAGTCATAGTCCTTTGTGGTCTTGTCCAACATTACATACTTGTCCAGAGCATTTTTTTCAACAGAAAGTCCAACTGAGAGAAGGACAGCTATGTGAGAAATGTTGAAAAAAAGTTCATCTCTTTTGCACAAAAATTTCAGTTTAAAATGCAGATTTGCTGGTCTAAAACCTCTCTGGTAAGCAATACATCTCCTCTGCTACTCTGCAACACTCTGCTCTGCTAAGCAATACATCCTTTTAGGCTAGGAGTATTCTGCATACCGTCAGACAGCTGAAGTCTGTGATTATGCTTATTTTTATAACTTTTAATAATTATAGCATAATTAACACAGATTCTGTGAAACTGTTGTGTTGCAATACTTCCTGTCAACTCAGTCAAAAAAATGCAGTGAACTTAGGTTTTGAGTGCAGCTACAGAAGTAAATACATAGAGAATATCCCATGAAGTTGTTTTAGAAAAACAAAAATATGTTATCTAAGAAATTTATTGCATACAGTTATTTCAGGACAGAGTTATGGTTTTATCTGAAACAAATCAAACAACTCTTTTTAACATAGCATGCTTAATTTGATTTTGCTTTAATTTATTTCTTTCATTTTAAGTATTTGTTTATTTCAAACTTTGCCCCATTTTAGATCATTTTTTGCTGTAGTGAATTGTAACTTTAATAAATGCATCATCTTAATGATCAACTAATCTTTCTACAAAGGCACTGTATCAGGTTTCATAATACTGTCTTCCAATGTGAGAAAAAACAAACTTTGCATGCAGATCTGAAGTAAATATTGATTTGTTAAATCATGTTTGCTAAACTCTGGATAAAAAAAAAAGTGTTTTAGTCTTAAGAATGTTGGCAGTAAGGAACATTTACATTCCCTTCATAGGTAAATTTTTAGAAGACGTACAACTTCCTGCTAAGGGTCATTTATAATTGAGGGATTCCTGAAATTAAACAGTTAGATGCAATAACATTTGTTCAAAGTTGAGAAAGAAATGGCAACTTGCCACATTCTTAAGATCA